GTGTGCTGGCTGCAGCGCACCAGCCGTGGCGGCCATTGGAGGGTGAACCAAGGGCAAAAGGAAGACCTTTCTCTCTGTCTCTCTCTCTCTCACTGTCCACTCTGCCTGTCAAAAAAAAAAAAAAAAAAAGAGGCAGTGAGGGAGGGGTAAGAGAGCAAGAGATATGAGAGAGAGAAAGAGAGATGGGGGGGGGGGAGTTGGCATGGAGAGATCCCAACCACTGGTCCATTCCCCAAATGTCTATGATAGTCCTTAGCTGGAGCTGAAGCAGGAAGCGGGAATTCAATCCAGTCTCCTACATGGATGGCAGAAATCCTACTGCTTGGGTTTCACTGCTGCCTCCCAGGGTAAGAAGCAGCAGGAAGCTGAAGTTGGGAGTAGAGCCAGGTTATCAACCCCAGGCACTCCGATACGGATGTGAGTGTCTGAATCACGAGGCCAAATGCTCACCCCCAATATGATATTTTGGTACATGTACATTGTGAAATGATTAAAGCAAGCTAAATTAACATATCCATCATCTCTCACATTTTTTAGAGTCTCCTTTGAACTGTTCAGCACCTTACTGGTTCCCGCATTCATTAATGCGGATGTGCTGATTTTATATTTGTGTGAGTCATGATTTTTTAAATTAATTAATTTTATTTGAGAAACAGAGAGACAGACACAGAGAGAGCTCCTGCCTACTGGCTTATTCCCCAAATGCCCACAACAGCTGGGGCAGGGCCAGGCCAGACCAGGAGCTGGAAGCTTGATCCAGGTCTGGCCTCCCACATGAGTGGCAGCGGCTCAAGGGCTGGAATCACCCATCACCTGTTGCCTTGCAGGGTGCATGAGCAGGAAGCTAGAGCCAGGAGTGGAGCCAGGACTCAAATGCAGGCACTCCAATATGGAATGTGGGCCAAACACCCACCTCAAAAGTCATGAGCTGCCCCTTGAAAAAATATTCTCTTAGCAAAAGACATAAATGCCAGTGATGAACACACGGCGAGTTGTCTGAACATGGACTGTAGCCTCTCTGCTTATTTACTTTCTCTCTGTGTGATGTGTAAATATTTTTATTTTTAAATATTTTAAAAATATATGTTATTTTTATTTATTTGACAGGTAGAGTTGTAGACAGTGAGAAAGAGAGACAGAGAGAAAGGTCTTCCTTCCTTTGGTTCACTCCCCAAATGGCCGCTATAGCCGACACTGCACCGATGCAAAGCCAGGAGCCAGGCACTTCTTCCCGGTCCCCCATGTGAGTGCAGGGGCCCAAGCACTTGGGCCATCCTTCACTGCCCTCCTGGACCATAGCACAGAGCTGGACTGGAAGAGGAGCAACTGGGACTAGAACCCAGTGCCCATATGGGATGCCAGCACCGCAGGCGGAGGATTAGCCAAGTGAGCCATGGTGCCGGCCCCTGAAGTGTAAATATTTTAACTCACTATACTCTAATGTGCTCTCTCTTCCCTGGTCAGACGATGGGGTCGGGCAGCTGCTGGTGCCCTGGATGGGTCAGGCCCTGGAGCACTAAGGCTGGATCCTGTCAAAACCGGAAGAGGAAACTGCTGAGCGGCGCGGGACGTCCACTGGACTAAAGGAACCTGGGCTAGACAAGTGCGTGAGCTCTACAGAATTCTTGTCGGGAGGCTGGCTGCAAGCCCAAAATACAGGTATAGGGACTGGGTGGATGCAGGTGTTGACCAGCCCAGAGGCACCTGTAATGGCTATTTTTGTCCCCTGATTACCCAGCTTCCAAAGCCCTGAAAGTTAGGGGAATCTCTCGACTTGAGCGTCTTTGAGGGAGACACGGCCTGCTCTCTAGGCTTGGAAAAATCCGATGTGCCCATGGAGGGCTTAGAATCTCCAGGGAGTATTCTAAAGGCGCAGGTAGCTGGCGGCCAGCGTCCACGATGGCGACACTGGCAGGAGCGTCCTAACGAGATCCTCCCTGCGGCGTGAGCTCGGCTCTTACCGCCACCACCTTCTCTGATCCTCCTGCGTTTCTGAGTATCCAGTGTTCCAGTTAATTCTATGATTTCCTTTTAATTCCTTTCTATGTTTTCATCCAAAAACCTTGACTCGTGTAGTAAATTTGGAAAGACGCTAAGAAGCTTCGAACGGCACAAAGCGTGGCTCTTGCTAAACACACCAATTCTTATTTCCAGCAAGCTTCCAAGTGATGCTGGCCGTGCTGCACCCCAGGCCCAGCGTAGGTTCTGAGGCCTGCAGCCCTGGAAGCCCGCAGATAGGTGGCAGCATAGCAGGAAGGAGTGGGATCAAGAGGGAGTGAGACACTGCGTGAGGCAGGAAGGAGTGGGATCAAGAGGGAGTGAGACACTGTGGGAGGCGGTGAGCAGCAGTCACTGAGGGATCCAGGGGCAGGGCAATAAATGGTCCCATTTTTAAAGGCTCCTGGGTGTCATGTGTAAGACAGTGGGAAATGAGGGGCGGGAGGCGGTGGAACCCACTGGGAGGCGTCGTAAGCAAGATAACGGCTCCCCAGAGATGTCCACGTCCTAATCCCCATTTGGCAAATTGGACTTTACAGGGTCAATGGGGTTAAGGACCTTCCGATGTGGGGGATTCTCCTGGATTATCCAAGTGGCCCAGTATAATCACACAAATCCTCCAAAGTGGAGAAACTTTCCCAGCTGTGCGCGAACCACAGTCAGAGCTGCAAGGCTGCTGGCTTGGGAGGTGGAAGGGCTGCCTGCCAAGGACCCGGGGCAGCCTCCAGGAGCTGGAAGGGGCAAGGCCACGCTTTCCCCAGGGCCGCCACAGGGAAAGCAGCCCAGCAGCACCTGCCAGACCTGTGACCTCCAGAAATAATTGCATGTTGTTTCAAGCCACTGAGTTCATGGCAATCCGTGCAGCAATCAAAAAACAAACACGGGGGGCTATTGCAACACGCCAGGGAAAATGATGAGAAGCCCGGTGAAGAGGGTACAACAGAGAAGCAGGAGGGATACCTGGCTTGAAAGATTACATGGGGGCTAATGGTGAAAGGACACAGCCAACAACCTGTGTGCGTGGAGCTGGGTGGGGAGGGAAGAGACTACAGTTCAGGCCTCTCTCTCGGGTAAATGGGTTTGTCAGCCAAAAAGAAACTTGAGTGTGTGCATGCATACTTGAGTGCATCCTGGCATAAAGAAAGGCAGCAGCTCTCCCCCGATCCTACTCAGCTCCATTCTTCTGCTAGATTTTTTAGCCAGACCTTCTATTCTTAACTCTCAAGCTCTCCCTCCCGGGAAAAGCATGTGCTCCCCAGCCAACACAGACAGCTGCTCGGCTGGTCCGTGAGAGTTTTCACTGCAAATTAATGAATTGCCATTGTACTCAGAAACCAGGCTCCTGTGAGTTTCATCAGAGCAAAACCATTTCCCAGGGTTTGATCTCTCCCGGATGAGCCGGCAGAATTGAATTGCGGCCCTCGCAAATCAGAGGCTCAGACCTTGTACCGCGGTGACCCCAGGAAGGCCTCATTCCCTGGCACGGCTTCCAGTGCCGCAGGCAGGAAGGGGCCGGGAGCAGCAGCAGCGCTGCGAGAGGCTACCCGATGCGTTACCCTGTGCCAAGGCATTTGAGAACCAGGAGGTTCTATGCTTGCAACCTAGCAGCTATTTATAACGCACACGCTGAGATTGCTTCTCACATGCCAGGACCTGGTCTCCAGAATGCCCCCCCCCCCCGGCCCAGCCCCAGCCTAGGAGCAGCAATGCACAAGCCCAGGCAAGTGGTACTGGGAAAGCGGGGAGTGAATCCTGGCTGGAGCTGACCTGGAGGTTGCTGGCTTTATCACAGACACTTCCTGGGAAGTCCAAGAAAGGAAACAATGACTTTCCAAGCTCACTTTGAATTCCCCTTTACTGTGGCAAACTTGCCAAGTGACTCGTGGCTGGGGGTGGGGGGTGTGGCATTTGGCACAGAAGTTAAGACACCACTCGGGATTCCCATATCCCACATGAGAGTACTTGGGTTCAAGTCCCAGCTCTGCTTCCAATTCCAGGTTCCTGCTACTGCCGACCCAGGGAGGCAGCAGTGGATAGGGGACTCAGATTTAGTTCCAGGCTCATGGCTTCAGTCTGGCCCAGGCCTGACCAGCAAATAGGAGATTTCTCTTCAAGTGTGTTTGTCTCTGTCTCTTTGTCTTTCAAACAAAAACTTTTTAAATGTTCAAAAGCAATTTTTTAAAAAATGAAAGAGGAAGAAGGATTGTGGTCACCCATCCATTGTCCAGCATTGCATCAATCAAATGGCATTGCCAAGATGGTCCATCTTAGTCTCTTGAGGCCAAAACCCACATCATTTGCACCTTGAGCTGGGTGTGTGTCCCACATGGGAAAGGATTCCCCTTCCCCCACCACCCACTCCAGGTCTTTGTCAATTGAGGGTGAATGCCAATGTGTCCAGGGCTGATACACCAATCATTCAACAGTAACTAATACAGTCCTTCAACCAGCAAGTGCTCTGGGTCCCCTTCTCGCACGCTCGGCCCTCAGCATAGTGTTACAGCAAGCAGGTACAGGATGATGACCGGCACTGCCCTCAGACAGCTTATGCGGCTTGAGTAATGGGTGCTGGATCCACAGACCCGGAATGGGGCCAGAGGTGCACAGCCAGGAGCTCGAGCCAGGTCTGCTGGGCTCTTGGACCTGTGCACTTGCCCTTGAGGCTGGGATGTACCCTCGTTCTGGTGCTTTATACGGTCTCCAGAACATTTCTCAGTCAAGGAAACCAAGGCTGAGCCATGTCAAGTCACTCACAGCATGTAGTGGGAGCCAGGGTCTCTGACTCCAGGAGCTGTTTCCTCTCTCTCTCCTCACCTTGTCACTGGAGGTGGCGAGACGGGAGGGGCTACCGGGGAAGTCTCACGAGAAGACAGATGAGGGACCCTGCTGTCCGCTCCTGGTGTCCACAGCAAGGAGGGTGTCCCCTCCTCCCATTACTTTGTTCCCAGCCACCCCTCCCTCACCGCATCACCACCCCTGCCAAGATAAACAGTGCTACTTACATATTCTTTAATGTCCTTTGATTTCACAGCCTTGTAGGAATAATACGCAGGGTAAAGGGTGCCAAATATAAGCCTGGAGGAGAGAGAGAAACAGAGAAAGAGAGATGTGATGTGCATTCATCCTGTCTGAAGAAGATGCCCGTCTTCCATGCCAGGGGCACCCCTCCAAGCCACAGGAAATGCTGCAGCCGGGGAGACCCCAGCCACTTTCACGAATACCCTTAAGGTTCTCGGCTCACAGCCAGGGTGCCCTTGGGAACCTCCACCTCCGGCCACAGCCCACACTATCATCCTTCAGCCTGTGGTTTGGCAACCTGCCAGGGTGGCTCGGACTCATGGAAGCCAAAGTGTGGAGAGGGTCAGCCAAGCCGAGCAGCCAGGACACCCGAAACTAAGGCCACTCTCCTCTCCTGCTGCCAGTCTCTGTCTGAGTCTGCTCTTTTACACCAAAAACTTCTTCCCCAAAAGTTCGGTCAGGTGTGGTGTTTGGCACAGCCGTTAAGATGCCACTCGGGCAGCCCGAGTGCCTTGGTCCACTTATGATTGCAGCTTCCTGCTAATGTGCACCCTAGGAGGCAGCAGACCCCAGTGCTTGGGTTCCTGCCATCCGTGTGGAAGACCTGAATGGAGTTCTGGGCTCCTGACTTTGGCCTGATCCAACTCCAGCTGTTGTGGGCATTTTGGGAAATAAACCAGTAGGTGGAAAATATTCACCTGTCTGTCTCTGTGTCTCTGCTTTTCAAATAATTTTCTTTTAAGTTCCTTCAAGGGGCCAGCACTGTGGCATAGTGGTAAAGCTGCTACCATGCCAGCATCCCATATGGGCACCAGTTCGAGTCCTGGCTGCTCTACTTCCAATCCAGCTCCCTGCTAATGTGCCTGGGAAGACCTTTCTCTCTGTGTCTCTCCCTCTCTCTGTCTATAACACTGCCTCTCAAATAAATAAAAAAACTTTAAAAAATTTATTTGAAAATCAGAGTTAGAGAGACAGAGAGAAATCTTCCATCTGCTATTTCACTCCCCGAATGGCTGCATTGACCAGGGCTGGGCCAGACTGAAGCCAGAAGTGTCTTCTGGGTCTCCCAGGTGGGTGCAGGGGCCCAAGCACTTGGGTCATCTCCCGCTGCTTTTTCTAGGTGCATCTGCAGGAAGCTAGATCAGAAGTGGAGCAGCCGGGACTGGAACCAGCACCGTTTGGGATGCCGGTGTTGCAGGCAGGCAGCAGCTTTACCCGCTACACCACAACACTGCCTCCCAGAACGAACTTCATGAACTGTAAATCCAATGGGCCGAACTCCTCCTTCGACCGACACACACCCTTGTGAACCCGCTGCTCATTCTCTTGTAGAGAAGAAAAACCACACATCCTCAGCTCTCACTGGGCCCATTAAACAACTTGACCCTCAGCCCCGCCTAAGAATCTGCATAGCTCTACCTGCCTTCTCACTCTCCACTTCACCTTTGCACATGCTGCTCTCTCCTTCTGGAATCTTCCCTTCCCTTCCATGGTTAATGTCTGTTCACCCCTCAGAGCCCAGCTCCAGCACGACTTCCTCCCAGAAGCCTTCTCTGAGCCCCCCGACCTAGATAAATCTCCCCCACCACACCTGTGCCATGGGATGCATGGATCAGGGCGTTGCCTGTGTGATGGTTTGGTGGCAGCCACCTTCCCAGTGGATTCTAAGTGCCTTGATGGCACTTTTGCTCCATGTGTGTCTCCAGCACCTTCCACCTAGCCAGTCCTTAACGGATAGTTTTAAATGAATGAACGGACAGCATGTCAGAGATGGAGAGGTTTAACCTATGAGGTCACCCCAGGTGCTGACTCCGGTGCAAGCTGCCAGGGATGGAGCACCCTTGGCCCAGTGGGCCCCATAGGAGCCAGCGTCTCGGGTGACACCCGCACAGAGCCTCCACGGTCCTGCCTGGTTACAAAAGACAGCACAAGTGCCGATGTAATTTTACCAAGCAGGGGTCAGCTTCCCCACAGGCGCTGGAGCTGGGCGACACTCGGGCATTTCCTTCCCATTCACCAGGTTTCCCTGGAAAACCAGAACCAACTCAGGTTCTGACACTGCAGGGCAGAGCAGTGTGTACACTCCTGACTCACGCGGGCCCTGAGCTAAGCATCTACAGACCCTCACCCCTGTGGGTCCAGGGACCCCTTTCACAGTGCCCAATGCACGAGGCAGTCAGCCACCTGCCTGTCCAAGGTCCCATGACCACCAAGGGGTAAGGCGGGGGCTGGAGCCAAACCAGCTTGGTCCCCTCTGCTGCCACTGTCCACCACCATGGAGGTCACAGTGACCTGGGTGAGTAGCAAGATAAGGCAGTACAGGTGACAAAAGAGCAGCCGGAAAGGAAGGGAATGAGATAGGGCAGGCGAAAGACTGTCCAAAGACAGCAGGCGAGGCTCCCTGGGTTTGGTCTCAGGCCACCTGGCTGAGGAAGGTCTCCCCAGAGTCCCTTGCCCACCCTGCTGCCTCGCCCCACCCCCGAGCATTCTTGCCTATCTGGGGAGATGCACTTCCGCTGGGAGGCCTCTCCTGACCGCGGCAGCCTCCTAACACGAGCTTCCTCTCTTTGGCCTACATTGCCAAGCTCCCTGCAGTTTCTTAGCCCTTGTCCATCCCAGTTGGATGGGCTGCTCAGCATCTGTCACCCCCACAGCTCTGTCAGCGCCACAAAGCCGGGACTGGGCGTCGGCCCATTCATAACCGCAGGCCCTGTGCCCGGCACAGTAGGAAGTGATCAATAAGGATGTGTCCACTGCGTGATGCTTCAGAGAGGGGTGACGCCAGAGTCGGCACCATCAGGGAACTCTCGTGACCCTGGGGCTGAGGCCTGGGCGGCACCGCTGATTCAGCCACTGGCTCCGGGGAAAACATGCCACTCCTTGGACACAGATGCCCTGGCTCTCATGTCTGTCTGCCAGGATGGTTTCCAGCCCCTGCCCGGGGGCAGCGTGTGAGTGGCGGAAGACCGACCTCGCGGCCAAGCGACTCCTCTGAGCTCCAGTGAGCTGTGACGCTGAGTGGTCACAGAGCTGGCCTTGAAGGGCGCCCAGGCTGGGAGGCTCGGTCTACTGGACTCTCCTGACGTGAGATGGAGCCAGCGTCCCCATGCCTGGCCCAGGTTTAATCGCACAGGGACCCAGGCCAGGCAGATCTGAAAGTTTCACAGCACTTAGCATTACACTGCCTGGGGAAGGGATTTCAACAGCCAGTTCCTCTTAATCCGTTTCAGGAGAAGAGAATGACAAGTGAGGCGGCCCCCGGGCTCCGAGGGACCACGCCTCCCGGCAAGGCCTCCTCCACTGCCCCACCTGCTTCCTCCCCAGCCTCCAGCCTCCTAATCCCCCAGCCTTGCCATCAGAGCCAGCAGCTGGCCTCCAGAAACCCCGCTCCCTCACAATCTGTGACTCCGGCTGCTCTTTCCTCTGCCTGGATCTCAGCCTGATCGGCCCGAGAAGGTGCCCTTAGTCCTTTAAGACCCATCCCAAAAAGCCACTTCTGTGAAGTCCATGGTCACTCCTCCCTCAGAATCCTCTTCATCCTTCTAACATCTGGGGCAGCCCTTAAGTACGAGTACTACAAATAAATTGAAAATAGCATCCCCGGGTGCTCACGCAGGCCTGGCACTGGTGCACCTGCTCTCCCGACGGGTCCTCCCACACCGCATGGCCTGAGAATTCTTACTCGCCCACTTTACAGACTGAGACACTGAGGCTTAGCAGCACCGCTCACTTGCTCAAGTAGCAGAGCTGGGATTGGACCCAGGAACCCTGATGACACAGCCTGCCTTCGCCACTGCCCCGTGGCTATCTGTGCTGTCGCCTCTGTCTAGGGAGCCCCACACTGTACCTAAGGCCTCCTACTCGGCACCCACCCTCCCTTCTCCCCACCCTCTCTGTCACCCTGACGCCCTCACTCCTGCTGGCCCAGCTCCACATGACCACCTGCTGCCTGTCTCCTGTCTTTGCCCTTCACTCCTCTGTCTTCCACTGCTTTCCCAGGCCATAAGCAGGGAGCTGGACTGGAAGCGGAGCAGCCAGGACTGAAAATGGTGCTTATACAGGATATGGGTACCTGCAGGAGGCAGCTTAACCTGCTACGCCATATTGCTGACCTCCTTTTTTTTTTTTTTTTTTTTAAGATTATTTGAAAGAGTTACAGAAAGAGAGGCTACACACACACACACACACACACACACAGAGGGAGAGAGAGAGAGAACGAGCCATCTTCCATATGCTAGTTCACTCCCCAAATGGCCTCAACAACTGGGCTGGGCCAGGCTGAAGCCAGGAGCTTTGTCTGAGTCTCCCACCTGGGTGCAGGGGCCCGAGGACTTGAGCCATCTTCCGCTGGTTTCCTAGATGCATTAGCAGGGGGCTGGATAGGAAGTGGAGCAGCCAGGACTTGAACCAGAGCCCACACGGGATGCTGGCATCACAGGCGGTGGCTTTACTTCCATGCCACAGCACTGGTCCCCCTCTAAGCCATTTTTATCCAGTGTATAACATTTTACTACATGAATACTACACCAGGTATTTATCCATCCTGTTGATAATATTTTTCCCTGTTAGGAGCAGTGCTGTCTCCTTGGCACATGAGAACCTGCCTCTGGGGAACAGGTAGAACTTGAGACTGACAGGTCAAAGGGTTAGCACCCTCCGCCTGAATGCTGGTGCCAGTCAGTTTACACTCCTCCTGCAGCACAGACAAGCTCCGATGCACCCATTCTTGCCTCACTATATTGCCAGATTTTACAATTTTTCCCAGTCTGATGGGTGTGAAATGGTATCCTGTGTTTAATTTGTATTTCCCCAATTACAAGTGAAATCAAGCAACTTTCTATGCCTAATGGCCATGTAGGGGCTTCACTGGCCTCTAACACCCCTTCGCTGGTTCTCTCTTTCTGACTTTTAGGAATTCCGCATGAATTCCAGGTGTAAATCCTTTCCTGGACATATGCCCTGCAAGCATCTTTCCCAGATTAGCTGTTTTATATCTATTTGTGGTATCTCTCCTTGTACAGAAGTTTTAAATTTTACATGGACAGACATCAACCTTT